GCTGTCTCACTTCTTGGGACCTGCCTGCCTGCCTCTCAAGCAGCCGCGGCACTCTCCCTCCCCGGCCCTCGCTCCTCCCTGAGTGCTCCTCCCTGAGTGCTCCTCCCTGAGTGCGTCTCCCCCTGCCAAGGCCCGCTGGGAGGGCACAGGAGGCCGCTGGGAGGGCACAGGAGGCCACTGAGGGCTTTTGTCGTCTTAGAGGCAGAAAGTTGACGTCAGGGTTTTAGGAGGAAGGATGCCATCAGATTCACGTTTCCCAGGCGTCTGTCTGTCAGGCTTCAGTGTGAAGAATGAGATTGAGAGGTCAGGAGAGGGCCCAGGGAGGCCATATGGGGCACCCACCATTGTGCTGGCAGGAGACGGCAGCTGGTGGGGGGGTGGTGAGGACATGAACGATGAGAAAATTCAGGAAGTGGAATCCAGTTGAGTTCTGTGTGGAAGGAGGGAGGGGGAACTGAGGTGACTTCCAGGTCTGGTCCATTCAGAGGGGGGCTCGCAGTGGGAGAGAAGGTGTGCTTTTCGGGCTCAGAGGAGTCTGGGCTGTAGATCGGACTCGGGCGATAGCTGTTGGTGGCGTCCGGAGTCACAGACTGGCAGTGGGTGAGGTCTCCTTGGAGGCGGCAGGATGTGAAGAGGGGTCTGCCACCCACCGTTACCTCTGGCCGCTCCCGGCATAGAGGTGTGTGGGAGCCCAGCTTATCTCTGGGGTCTCAGCCGATGTTCCTTTAACTCCAACCCCAGCAGCTCTCTCTTCCCGTAACTTCACATCTGCCTCGTGAGGGCACCTGTATTCCCCGCGGGAGGCTCCATGCTTTCAGTGTGGCTCTGCTCTTGTGGTCACGCTCAGCGCGTTCAGGAGGGACCAGGGAGAGAAGACAGGCCTACCTGTGCGCATCTGCCAGCCTCACCTGGACCCAGGGGCATCGCTAGCCCTTCGAGTTTGGAAGGAAAGGGTTAAAACTGGCGTGTGTGTGTGTGTGTGTGTGTGTGTGTGTGTGTGTGTGTGTGTTTCATCCTTACCCGAGGATATTTTTCTTTTCTTTTTTTAAAATTTAATAAATCTTTATTGTTCAGACTATTACAATTGTTTCTCATTTTCCCCCCACCCAGCTCCCCTCCACCCAGTTTCCACCCCACCCTCTGCCCTTACCTCCCCCCTGCCCCGTCCTCATCCATAGGTGTATGATTTTTGTCCAGTCTCTTCCCATACCCCCAACACAGACACCCCTTTCCCCCTGAGAATTATCAATCCCCTCCCATCCTATGCCCCTGATTCTGTTATATTCACCAGTTTATTCTGTTCCTCAGATTTTTAATTCATTTGACTTTTAGATTCACTTGTTAATAGATATGCATTTGTTGTTCATAATTTTTATCTTTACTTTTTTCTTCTTTTTCCTTTTTAAAGAATATGTTTAAGCATTATATATAATACTAATTTGGTGGTGATGAACTCCTTTAGCTTTTTCTTATCTGTGAAGCTCTTTATCTGCCCTTCAATTCTGAATAACTTTGCTGGGTAGAGTAATCTTGGTTGTAGGTTCTCACTATTCATCACTTTGAATATTTCTTGCCACTCCCATTTGGCCTGCATAGTTTCTGTTGAGAAATCCGCTGATAATCGTATAGGTGCTCCCTTGTAGGTAACTAACTGTTTTTCTCTTGCTGCTTGTAAGATTCTCTCTTTGTCTTTTGCCCTTGGCATTTTAATTATAATGCGTCTTGGTGTGGTCCTCTTTGGATTCCTTCTGTTTGGGGTTCTGTGCGCTTCTTGGACTTGTAAGTCCATTTCTTTCAACAGGTGGGGGAAGTTTTTGGTCATTATTTCTTCAAATAGGTTTTTAATATCTTGCTCTCTTCTTCTACCGTGTTTCCCCGAAAATAAGACATCCTCCGAAAATAAGACCTACTTACAGGTTTCCTTCTGAGTGAAATATAAGGCATCCCCCTGGAAATAAGGCCCCCCCTCCCTAGGCTAAACATGAGAGATTTGGTCCACTGATTCTGAAAGAAATGGAGTCACAAGAAATTCACCAGGAAATTCAGGAATTGGATTGTTATGAATGATGTTCCAGAAGATGATGACATGATTGTCATTGAATAAATGAGTAAATTCTTGATACTGTAGAATTCACAGTTTGTCTTGACAACTACCATACTACCGTACCGTATACAGGTAATAAATTTCCTTTATTTTCATTTAACAATAAATGTGTACCGTATTCTTCTTCATGGAAAAATAAGACATCCCCTGAAAATAAGACCTAGCGCATCTTTGGGAGCAAAAATTAATATAAGACACTGTCTTATTTTCGGGGAAACAGGGTAGCACTCCCATAATTCTGATGTTGGTATGCTTGAAGTTGTCCTAGAGGCTTCTTACACTATCTTCAACTTTTTGGATTCTCTTCTTGCTTCTCTGGAGGAGTGTCCTGTGCCTCTTTGTTTTCCAAATCTTTGACTTGATTCTTGTGTTCCTCTAGTCTGCTGTTGAGTCTCTGTATAATATTTTTTATTTCAGTCAGTATATGTTTAATTTCTAGTTAGTCCCTTTTCATATCCTTGAAGGTCTCGTTAATTTTATCGGCCTTTTCTAGGAAATTCTTGAAAAACCTTGTAACTGGTTTTGAACTCTATGTCCAGTCATTTGTTGTCATCCATTTCTTTCGTTTGTGATCTGTTTCCTTGTCTCGGCATTTTCGCTGCTTCCCTGAGTTGGTAGGGTGGCTTTGCGTGCTGGGTGTCCTATATGGTTCAGTGGGTCAGCCTCCCAGTTACCTGATGTGGACACTCTTGGTGCACCCCTTTGTGGATTGCGTATACAGCCTTGTTGTAGTTAAGTCTTGATTGTTGTTGTTGTCACTGGGAGGAATTGACCTCCAGACCGATTGGCTATGAGGACCCGCTGTGTCTATAATAGAAGAATTGCTGTGCTGGAGACACGTTTATGGGTCAGCACCGAGGATATTTTTCCATGGACTTTTTAGAGAATGTGGAAGGGAGGGGAGAGAAGGGTGGAGAAAGAGAGAGAGAGAGAGAGAGAGAGAGAGAGAGAGAGAAAGAGAGAGAGAGAGAGAGAGACATGGATTGGCTGCCTTTCACATACACCTGACCCAGGGTAGAGATCAAGCCTGCAACTGAAGTACATGCCCTTGACCGGGTCGCAGAATGTTTACAGCACCTTTGCTGGTGTCAGGGCCTGTACTTGTGCCTGGGCCCCGAGTGTCCATCCCTGGCCTGTGCTGTCACGCACATGCGGAGCGGGCGGCGGGCTCCCTGTGTACCCGGCGTCCGCCCGCAGCTGAGGAATTGGTGGTGGCGTCTGGCTTTCACGAATTTCATTGCAGGAGTGCACACGGCCATGTTCATTTAAGTTCAAAGTCTCTGCTAACAGGGCAGCCGATTCTCTCGCTGACGTTTAGATTAACCTGTTTTGAACATATTAGTTTATATCCTCCTTGACACTTTGACCAAACATTAGTGCCTTGTTCTCAAACAGTGTTAGTGTTTAGGGTAAGTAAGGTGTACAGCATATGATTTCGCTGAGAAGACAAGGGAGAACAGTCCCAAGAGCAGCTAACATCATTAAGCATCAGCAACACCTGTAAGATGTGAGTGACTAGAAGGCAGCCAAATGGAAGAGAGCTTTCTGAAATATAATTCAGCGCGTCCCTGCGGTGTATTTCTCCTGCTGGTAATTGTCTCAGGCACCTCTCCCCCTTCTGTGGTGTGACCGTGACCTGGGTCCCCTCGGAACACTGCTCCTTTTGTGTTTCCTTTGGAGAGCAGGATGACCCAGCGGCTTCGCACACCTTAGTTACCAATGCTTCCAGTGATCTTTGGCTCTGCTTAGGTATCCTACCTAATAAAAGAGTAATATGCAAATTGACCAATAATTATGCAAATTAACCCAACCAAGATGGCTGTAGCCACTGAACAAGCAGGAGGGAGGCTTGGGTTTCCCTGGCGATAGAGGAAGCCAAGCTTTCCACACACTCTGGCCGGCCCAAGCTTCTGCTTAAAGTTTCAATTATAGAAGGTGAATCAATCCCAACAGAAATGGCTGCCACCACAGAGCAAGCAGAAGGCTTGGCTTGGCTCCAGGTTACAAAGTTTCAATTGTAGAAGATAAATATATCCCAGATACCAGGGCCTTTGCTTGGGTCGCTGGGGGACATGGCTGGTCTGCAAACTACCACAGGTCCCTCGCCCAGGCCGCCCCACGCCCCAAGGGAACCCCACCCTGATCTGGGACACCCTTCAGGGCAAACCATCCGGTCTTGCATGTCCCCTACTCAGATGATACTGTAAATTTCCTGTTGCATTGCATTAGGAGATGCATGAAGTTGTCTGTCTCCCTATTAGTGACTATAAGATTAATACCAAGGTAAAGGGTGATTTCCTGACCTCGCCCTTATAAATCCTATCTAATAAAAGAGTGATATGCAGATTGATCATCACTCCAACACACAAGATCAAGATAGCTGCCCCCATGTAGTCAAAGATCCTGCCCCCATGTGAACACAAGATGCAGGGGAGGGCAGTTGGGAGGGACCAGGCCTGCAAGAGAGGGCAGTTAAGGATGAGCAGGCTGGCAGAGGAGGGAAGTTGGGGGCAAACAGGCTGGCAGGGGAGCAGTTGGACATCAATCAGGCTGGCAGGGGAGTGGTTAGGGGGTGATCAGGCTGGCAGGCAGAAGTGGTTAGAGGCAATTAGGAGGTGAGCATTTGGGAGCCAGCAGTCCTGGATTGTGAGGGATGTCCCAGATTGAAGAGGGTGCAGGCTGGGCTGAGGGACAACCCCCGCCTCCCGTGCTGAATTTCACGCACTGGGCCTCTAGTTTTAAATACCGTCATGATAGGCCAGTCTAAATTGGTAAGCAAAACAGTGATCTAAAAAATGCTGCAAATACTATTTTTCACTCTTACTGTATCTGGTATGTAAGGTTCAGAACTGGCACTTTCTGAATTGTAACGACTCTATCCCCTTCCTTCACTCAGAAGTGGACTACAGCAGTCTTTGTGACAAGCAGCCAATAGGAAGGCTGCTCTTCCGGCAGTTCTGCGACACCCGGGACAACCTGAAGCGGTGCATAGAGTTCCTGGATGCGGTGGTGAGTGGCTCACCTGTGCTGACAGCTGCTCTGTGCTCGGAGGAGCCTGAGTTAGTTGACGTGGCTGTGAGGGGGGAGGGGGGCAGTGGCCTCTATGTCTCCCTCTGCTGTAGTGTAAAGCGGCCACTCGCGCAGGACTGCCCCTCAGGGCTGGAGGCACGTGTGCTTAGTGAGTAATGTTGAAACTTGCTGCTTTGATCTGTGAGGAGGTTGAACAGCGAATGAATGAAGACGATGTGCTTAAGGCAGCCCCTGCGAGTGGCCTTCCTCCTTCTGAGCAGTGCTGTCTGCTTCCAGCACCCAGGAGGGAGCAGTGAACTGAGTGTAAAGATAGTCAGGGAGCCAAAACCGGTTTGGCTCAGTGGTAGAGCGTCTGTCTGCGGACTGAAAGGTCCCAGGTTCGATTCCGGTCAAGGGCATGTACATTGGTTGTGGGCACATCCCCGGTAGAGGGTGTGCAAGAGGCAACTGGTTGATGTTTCTCTCTCATCGACGTTTCTAGCTCTCTACTCTCTCCCTTCCTCTTCTCTGTAAAATATCAATAAAATATTAAAAAAGATAGGGAGTGGAGCTCACTGTGACGTGTAAAGTGTCCCAGCATTCTCCGCGTCATGTTTGGCATTCATTGAGTTTTCCTGAGAGGTAAAGAAATCCCGTGTTTCTGAATCTTTAGTTCTGGCAGATGTAGGAGTTTGAAACTGAAATTCAGAAGCAACTTAACAGTAGAAAATTGGCAGAATCTGGCAGAAAAGCTCTCTTACCAAACTTATGACCTTACCCTAAGCACTGACACTGTTTTTCTGTCCGAGGTGCGTCAGCCAGTAAGTGCTGACTACATATTGTACCTAGAGTACTCTCTTATGTCATTGAGTGTTTATTCATTTTTGCCTCTGACATAGCTTTTAAGATATTCGTGTTTAAATGTATTCTTTCAGAAAAGCATTCGAGGCTCTTGCCTATTTTGTTGTTTGCTCCCTACTCCCTGGGGCTCCCCCTTTCCTTCCTGGTGCCTTCACTAGAAAAAGACAAGGCTGTAAAGGAGGCAATTATTTTTTAAAGGAAGAATTTGGATGCAGTGGGGCTGCCTACTCAGCTCTGGGAGAATGTGATAGTCTAACGTACCCTATAGAATAAAAGGCTAATGGCAAGTTGTCCCCCCTCGACCTGGAGTTCAACCTGGCCAGCCTCCGACTCCCCTCTCCCCAGCCGGACACACCTCGCATGACTCCGTGCGCTGGGCCACTAGTGGGGTTATATTTGCCAAGCTGCTATGCTTTAGGAATTCAGAGACCTATGCCGTCTGTATCAGTCAGGGCTCAGTGCAAGGAGCGAGTTAGATAGGAAGGGATTTGCCAAAAGAAACTGGCTTTCCTGGTTGTGAGGTCTGGCTAGGAAAGGGTGCCATCTGTAAGGCGGGCCAGGGAAAGGGCAGGGGGGACTCCGGAAACGGGGAAGCCGCTGTGGTAGGCAGGGACTTCTTCCGGGCAGACCCACTCTGCTTGTCGGACCGTCAGCGACTGAGCGGATCCAGCGGTGCCTCTCCATGGCAGCAGTGCCGTTGTGTTCGAGTGACTGACTGCCTGTGGTGGGTGACTGAGTCCGGGACAGTCTCCCTGGCCCTGTGGTGGGTGACTGAGACCTTGGACACTGCACTCGGGTCCGTGAGCTGTTTGCTTGTTTGGCCGCAGTTCGGGGCTGAAAGTACAGACGGAGCATCATGGAATGGGCTGCTCTGCTGTATCATTAACCCTCAGAGCTGTCAGGAGGCCCTGGCACAGTGGGCTGCTTTCTGGTCGGGGGCTGCAGTCAGTTCCGGAAGCCAGAGGACTTGAAGCCGCCTGACGTCGGTGAGGAGTTAGCTAACATTTCTTCCCGTCGTCTCTGCACTCAGGCAGAATATGAAGTCACCCTTGATGAGGACCGAAGAGAGCGTGGACAGTTAATCTTGAAAACGTTCTTCATTAATGAGGTGTGTTTTTTCTTCAGATATAAAGATTTGTAAGTAACATGTAATTAGAGTGCAGAGCCATTTACTTAATTGGATAAATGTAACATGTATGTTAACATTTCTTTCTTACAAAGCTCCTCTCCCTGGCTCATAGCTGGCACCATCTCACTGGTGTCTCCCGGGGCTCTTGGAATCCTCTGTAAGGCCCTGGCCCCGCTCTCGGGCTCCCTCCTCCTGATCTAAGCTCCTCCGTAAGGTCCTACGTCTCAGTAGTGTCACTTGGGGGGTAGGATCTCAGCATCCAAGTTTTGAGGGATTACATGCAGACCATAGCACTTGTAAGTAGAAAATCTCAAGGTGTCCGCACATACATTAGGGAGAAAAACTAATAATTGAGTTTGTCAAGGTTGCAGAACACTTGATCACCATACAAAATTCGATTGCGCATCAAAAAGGAGTAAATATAAAAAGTGCAAGACTTTTGTACTTAAAACATTATTGAAAGAAGTTAAAGGACGTAAGTAGACTTCCCATGTTCATGGATTAGAAGACTTGATATTTTTTACAACACTCCCCACCATGATCTGTAGGTTCATTATACTCCCAAGCTCCCCTTTCTGCAGAAGTTGGTAACATCTGAGAAGCCGCATGGTGCTGGCACAAGGACAGCCACCCCATCAATTTGCGGGGACTGATGCAGGAGCCGGCACATCCCTTTGCAGTCAGCTGACTTACTGTGAAGACCCACGTCCCGCATGGTTCAGGGTTCGGAATCTGGAGAAGGGCTGCATACAAATTAAAGAGACGAGACAAGATAATAAGCTGTAAATATTGGGGAAAGGACTTCCACTGGTGCTCAGGCTTGCCACCCTTTTATTCAATTTTGGATGCACATCTAGCCCTTAGGCAGGAAACTGAGGTGACAGGATATCCTAAAGGTCAGTAAATATTAGAAAGATTGACTCTGAGACCATTTGGTCAGGAAGTTGCTTGAGCCCCCATTGTCTGGACTAAACAATCGGTGCACAGCGCTGGCCCTTGCCAGGACTGAAGGTTCACCAGCATTCTGGGTGCCTTGTTTACCCTTCTCTGATAGTGAAGACCACGGGTGGCCTCCCACAACTTACAACAGCTTACGAGCACTCTGGGGAAAGAGTCACCTTCCAACAGACCGCTGGGACAGCTGGCGTCCACATGCAAAAGAATGCAGGTGGCCCTCACCTCATACCACACCCACAGCGTAATGCCACATGGATCGAGCACTCCAACATGGGAGTTACAGCCATCGAACTCCAGAGGAAGCCTCTGAGGTGGACATGTTCCCTATAGAACTTTCAAGTGAGATCTTCCAATTGGCCGCTTCGCTGTCAGGGCCCAGAGAAGAAGGGGAACTCGGTTCTCGACGCAAAGGGTTTGGCCCACAGACAGGCGAGTGCTGGCTGTGTCTACGGTGCCGGAGCCCCAGCTCCGAGTCCGCCCGGCCACGGGGAGCTCAGGGCGTGCGCAGAGCCTCCGGGGCTTCTGCTCCTTGCTGAGCCGCCCGCCCGGGCAGCCTGGGCCTGTGCTCAGCTCAGGCTCAGAGAGTCTTCTCCAGCCCCCATCCCCCCTCCCATCCCAGCTGGCCCCGCCCCCATCAGCTCTCCCCACCCCTATTGGGGCAGGGCTGGCCAGCCAATCTCCTGGGGCCCCTCCCCCCAGCTGGCCTGGCCCCATGGGGGGTGGTAAAGGGGAGCGGGCTGCCGGACCCACCCATGCATGAATTCGTGCACCAGGCCTCTCGTGATGTTATAAATATCCAAATGGCCCTGGGCAGAAAAAGGGTTCCCCACCTCTGTTCTGCAGTGTGCTATGTTGTCAGCATTTTCTGGAGATTTTTTGTGTCCCGTCATGTCTACAAAATCCCCCGACTCCTCTGTGAGGAGAGAGGGAAGGCGGCGGAGCTCGGCTGCCAGGGGTGGGCTGATGTAAGTGCTCCGAGCACGGTTCAGGTCAGTGTGGCTGAGCTGGTGTTAGGTAGGCTTGGCTATGATATTCTGAATTCGGGATGGGTTTGGTGGGACATAATCTCATCATAAGTTGCGGAACATCTGTGTATAGTTTTTATTCCATTTGTATGAGGGAAAAGTGTGTGTATTTCTGAGCGTTAGTGTGTGTGTGTTTGCATTCTAATTGTGATAAAAAATGTATAAAATTTGTCATTAAGTCCATTCCCATCGTACAGTTGTCACCAGCATCCTCTCCAGAACATTTTCATCATGCAGAAGTAAAAGTCTGTCCCCAGTGACCAACAGCCCCTCATGCCCCCTCCCCAGCCCGAGGCTTCCGCTCTTCCTGTTGTCTTTCACGAACTTGACGCTGTCGGGACGGCAGACACGCAGAACTTGCCCTTCCACGATGGCGTATTTCACTGGGCATGTTGTCCTCGGGGCCGTCCGTGTGTGGCAGGTGGCAGAATTCCCGTCCATGTTAAGGCCGGATAATGCCCCTTTGAATGGTGGACCACATCTTGTTGACCCCCCTTGGGCTGTTGTGTGAGTGATGCAGTACGTGGGGCACAGTATCTCTGGAGACTCTGCTCCCGCCCTGTTTGATGTCCCGGGGAGAGGTGGGGAGGTCAGGGTGAGGTGGTACCAGCTTACCTCACGCACTTGGTGTTTCCGTTTCTACAGTAGGCGTTAGGTTTGCTCAGGGCTGTAGGTGGTGAGATCACTAACAGTCTTGTCTCTGGTTTGTGCTGTGAAGACCTCGGCAGCCCCTTTGCCCCGGATTTCTGCTCGCATCGTGAGAGCGTGCAGGCTGCAGCTGAAGGAGATCCCCTCCAAGGAGCTGTTCAAGGAATGTGTCAGGTAAGGGCCGTGCCCGCTGCCCGTCGCTGCAGGCTTCTCGGCGGGAGGCATGTTCCTAACCGCGTTCTGTCGAAACTGAAATGCACTTCACGGGGACGGACTGAGGAGCAGTCTCAGCGGAGCTCCTGGCCCTCTGCTCTGTGCTTGTGTCCAGATGAAAAGAGTCATACAAAATGTTTTGTTTTGTTTTACTAAATGATTTTAGAGAGAGAGGAAGGGAAACAGAAACATCAGTGTGAGAGACACCAATTGGTTGCCTTCTGCACACACCTAGACTAGGGCCAGGATCGAACCTGCAATCTAGGCACCTGCCCTTAACTGGGGATCGAACCCAAGATCCTCCTGGTACACAGACCGACAATAACCACTGGAAATACCGCCAGCACTGTGCAGTTTTAAATGTCGTAATCGCTTACATTGTGTGCGGTGGCCTTGTTTCCCAGCCTAAAGCCCAGCAGCAGTTCACTGTTCTGAGGTGGGGTGTTAGGAAGTGAAATTGAGCAGCGCTGGTAGGTTGGTGGTCACCGTTGACTTGTATAGACTGTGAGGTACACAACGTGACGCAGGGCGAGGGAAAGTGGCTTCCAGCTGTGAGTGCGGAACAGAGTCCGGTCCTGTGCTATTCTTCTAGTTCCTGTGTTATTTTCCACGTGGAAATGGTCAGCCTGCTTTGCCTCACCCTGTAGCATAGGCTACTGTTTGTGTTGTACTTTTCATGGAAATTCTTAAATACCTTGATAAAGATGGTGTAGCTGCTGAAGCCGGTTTGGCTCAGTGGTAGAGCGTCGGTCTGTGGACTGAAAGGTCCCAGGTTCGATTCCGGTCAAGGGCATGTACATTAGTTGTGGGCACATCCCCAGCAGGGGGTGTGCAGGAGGCAGCTGGTTGATGTTTCTCTCTCATCAACGTTTCTAGCTCTCTAACTCTCTCCCTTCCTCTCTGTAAAAAATCAATAAAATATATTTAAAAAAAAAGGACGGTGTAGCTGACAGCCGAGTCAGAGTCCTCCAGCTGACTCTAAGTGTGGCTGTGAGCGCCTCTGGGAGCAGGCCCTGTGTGCGAGGATGCGAGGGTGGCCGGGAGCGGTGTCAGCTCTAAGAGTGAACATGGCAGCCGTTCACGCCTTTCCTCTCAGGTTCATCCCTGGCCCACTCTGAAGCGTGGCGGACGGAGAGCTTTTGCTTATGTAGTTATGCTTTTTAAAAGTCATAAGCCACCGACATCCACTGTCGTCTGGAACGCCCTGTGAGGATGGGCTCCGAGCACACACGGCCTCCTGTCACTGAGTGCAGCTGTGCTGCCGAGCTCCCCAGCCTCGGAGCCCATGGGCACCTCTGAAGCGTGTTCCCTCCAGCGTCCGGCTGCCTTCCACCCTTTACCACTCCCCAGAAGACTCTCACCACTTCTAAAGCAGTTATAAATGAACCTAGCGGCATGGCCATGGCAGAAAACCTGAGAAAACATGCAGCGCAAAGTAACTTATTGAGTGCTTTATTCCCAGTGTCAAAAAACGGTTGTGTGACGTATTAACATTTTCTGCCTTGTGACTGACTATTCTCAGTCAGACATTCCTTCATTGTATTTATAAAATGTTTATATCCCCTCCTGAAATACACAGGCTTATGCATGCACACACACTTTGAATATGCTTTAAATTATTGTCCTTTTACTGACAGATTGTTTTTATAAAGTATTTGTTTCTCTGATGTCCATATACATAAAGAGAACCTCTGACTGGGAGGGTAAATTGATTTCATCTCCTTTGAATTCTTCCCTCCATATTCTCACGGACACATTGGAGCCTGTTGTGGACGCCTGTGACTTCGAGTTCAGTACTGAATAGCATGTGTGTGTGTGTGTGTGTGTGTGTGTGTGAGAGACGGACCTGCCTGTGTCCAGGGCTCCTAGGCGCACTAACACAGCTGCTTCCATGTTGTAATGAAACACGGGTGTATAATTGCATGCAATCTTTTTCTAGAGTTGTCCATCACTTTTTAAGTGGAAAACCATTTGAAGAATACCAAGAAAGCCCATATTTTTCTCGATTTTTACAGTGGAAATGGTTGGAAAGGTATGTTCTCTCTTAAGATTCAGTGAAAACAATGGTAACTTCTCATAATCACCCTGATTGATGTATACCTTTCCTTCTGTCAAAATACTCTTGGAAATGTTGGCCTTCATATGGTATTTCTGTACAGAAATTATTAATGTGTGTTATTAGTTTTTCCTCATTCAGTTGACTCTGTTCTGTCTTTTTTGTTTTTATTTATTTATTTTTACAATATATTTTATTGGCTTTTTTCTTTTTCTTTTTTACAGAGAGGAAGAGAGAGGGATAGAGAATTAGAAACATCGATGCAAGAGAAACATTAATCAGCTGCCTCCTGCACACCCCCTACTGGAATTGAACCTGGGACCTTTCGGTCCGCAGGCCGACGCTCTATCCACTGAGCCAAACCGGTTTCAGCTGTTCTGTCTTTTTTAAATGGTTGTCAGCCCACTTGGTGCAGCAGGTAGAAAATAAAGTCTGTCCTAGGGTCACAGACATACAATGTAACAGTCTCAGGCTGTGTGGCCTCCTGTGGCTTTATGGCCTCAGGCAAGTGACTTAGCCTTTGCGCTTCAGGTCCTGGTTGGGTTACCCGAGATGCTCATGATCCACACTTCTCGCTGCCCAGTCGCCTGAGAAATGTGTGTGAAATGCTTAGCCTTCCTAGTCCTGTGTGCTCACGGAGTGAGTGCTCACAGTCTTAGCTGCCGCTAGTGTTATTATTACAGTTGTTATTATTTTTACTTTTAATCTCACCTGAAGAGTGAGGATATTCTTTCCATTGATTTCTAGAGAGATTGGAAGTGGGGGGGGGGGGGTAAGGGAGAGAGAGAGAGAGAAACATTGATGTGAGAGAGGTACATTGGTTGGTTGCCTCCTGAACACACCCAACCAGGGCTGGGGATCAAACCTACAATCCAGGTACATGCCCTTGACTGGGAATCGAACCCTCAGCACTGCAGTGCTTAGGCCAACATTCTAATCACTGAGTGATACTGGCCAGGGCTAGAGGCCCGGTGCACAGATTCATGCACATTGAAAGAAAATTAATTAGAAGGTGGCCAGTCGGGTGGGACTGGGCAAAACGGGCTGGGCACACCTTGGAGCCAACCTCCATGGTCCTGCCCCACTGTCTGCAGAGTGAGCGGGGTCCCTCCAGCAGGTGGGGTTCCTCAGCCTGGCCTGTGGGGATCAGGTGGAAACCGGCAGTCTGACATCCCATGAGGACACTCTGCAAAGTTGCTGTTGCTCAGCAGCTCCTGCGTTAAGCATCTGCCCCCTGGTGGTCAGTGTGCGTCATACCTACCGGCCTGTTGGCCAGTAGCTTAGGTTTTTGCTAAGCCTTTTATATGTTGATATATAGAGTGACCACTTTTCCAGTTCTAGTTCAGACATATTTTTCGAGATGTCTGGTTTTTTAAAGGATAGCGTGCTGTAGACCATCCTTTTCCTCAGTAGCTTCTGACTGGCCTGAGGGGGATGCCTGAGAATAATAATACTGCACATGGGGGCTAGTGCAGACTTGTCTTTCACGACTAAAGATAACTGGACCATTCTGCATCTGTCATCAGTGTTTTCAATGAAAAAGGTTCCGTGTGCTTGTGCTGAGTGCGGCTGAGAGCTGTCCCCTGGAGGGCCACAGTCCCCAGTTACAGACTTCCTGCCCTCCCCTGGACCAGTGAAGTTCCATAACTAAGCCTAGGACACCAGCGAGGTAGGCTGTCTGCTTTAAAATAACAATGTGACGTGAGACCTGAAATTTTCTTTTTGTTACTTAGGCGGCCAGTAACAAAGAAAACATTTAGACATTACAGAGTTCTAGGAAAAGGTGGATTTGGAGAGGTAAGTGTCATGTGACCAATGGGAGCCATGCTAGCCAGCGAGGTATTGGAGAGGCACTTGCTGCAGGTAGCCACCCATTGAACTCGCACACTGACTTCCACCCCAGCTATCAGGGCATAATTTTAGCCAAGCACAAGCATTAAGGTTGAACTTGGTGCAAAAGGTACTTTAGTAAAAGCTTTTAACAAAGTTAAGAAGTGCCCAGCCAGTGTGGCTCAGTGGTTGAGTATCGACCATGAGCCGGGAGATCATGGTTTGATTCCAGGTCAGGGCACATGCCTGCGTTGTGGGCTCCATCCCAATAGGGGACAGGCAGGAGGCAGCCCTTCAGTGAATCTCTCTCATCATTAATGTTACTATCCTTCTCTCCCTTTCTCTTCCTCTCTCTGAAGTCAATAAAAACATATTTAAAAAAATGAAAATAAAAAATCAGGAAGTTGTTTTTGGGAAAAAATCATTACCTTTTGTTTTTACCTTTCTCTTCATAAAGACACTGATTCCCATGTCCAGTGTGTAAGTTCTGTCTGTCCTGATTGAAAAATTGTTCTCTTTTTTTTAATTTGTTGACTTTTTTTTTAGAGGGAGAGAGAAGGAAGAGAGAGAAGCATCAATTTGTTCCATGTACTTGATGCATTCATTGATTATTTTTTGTATGTGCCCTGGCTAGAGATCAGACCCACAACTTTTCGTGTATCGGGACGACACTCGGACCAACTGAGCTCCTGGCCAGGGGGACGGTTCTGTGTCTGTTGTGGTTTTTTTGTGACTATACTTCCATAATTTAGGGCTAGTCGGAAAGTTCATTAGGACAAAAGCATGTTCTTGTATGTGCTTATTCAGCTCAACTCGGTTTGCACATACATTCATCTTCCACTTCCAGCAAAAGGTGTTAAAGAACGTGGACATTTAGGAAAATCCAGGGGAAACTGCTCATAAATGCAGTAGAGATGGGTTTTAAACGTGATGGCTGTGCCAGGCGGAGCCACCGTGGTGGGTGGACAGACACACGTGCATGTGTGCCAAGGTGACTGAAGGAGACACCGTTGCTTCATGAGCATGTTTTGTGAGGCGTGTAGAAGGCCCAGCTCGGGGGAGCCGGAAGGAAGGAAAGTGGATGCTGCCAGGGGCTCACCCTGCCACCCAGGTTTAACGCACACATCTCCCCAACTCCCCGTGACAGCCAAAGCCAAGGCCATAGCATTCCTCTCACACGACTGGAAAGCTGACCCGAGAGTGACACTCCCAGGGGGATCCGCTGGGACGGTGCGGGAACGTGGTCCACGCAGCCATCGCCACTAAAGAAGCAGCGGTGCTGCACCTGGTTCAGTTCTCCAGACCTTTCATTCAGTAGTTACTATTTTTAAAAATATTTTTAAAATTGACTCTTAAAAGAGAGAGGAAGGGAGAAGGAAGAGAGAAACATCTGTGTAGAGCGAAACGTGGATCGGCTGCCTCCTGCACAGTCCCCACCCGGATTGAGCCCGCAGCCCCTGCATGCTGCCTTTTGGTGTTGGGGATGATCCCCAACCAACCAAGCCTCGCCGGCCAGGGCAGTCTCAGGCCTTTTAGAACGTTTGCATGATCCAACCAAGTGCCGGTGCGTGCACCTTCATGATGGACATTGCTGTGGGGAGTCTGTTCCATGCGGACACCTCTTCAGTTCCTCCCGCCTTTCCTTTCATGATGTCCAGGCCAGAGCTCAGGTTTTGTCAGGGAAAGAGGAGAGGGAGCTTCAAGCGCATGGGTCTGTGCACAGAAGAGTGACGTTCTTGTCATAGGCACACGGGCTTTAAGAGTTCAGTAGGAACATGTCAGCCAGGGCGGGCGGGACAAGGTCCATGTTCTTACAGGTGCGTGTATGGAGGGGCTGGGAGCTAGCCAGAAACACTCATGGTAGTTTTCTTGGGATTTCAGGTGAGTTTTTAATCATTGTCCTTTTGAATACTTCAAATATTTTCCACAGTGAACTTTATTTTTTATCATAAGGTTTATTTTATTGATGGGTAAAATTATAAGTAAGCCTTGTTTGGGGTGTGTGTGTGTGTGTGTGTGTGTGTGTGTGTGTGTGTGGTTGTGGAGCAGTTGTGCACGGGATGTGGGGGGTTTGTGTGTGTGTGTATGTGTGTGTATGTAGGAGTCATAGGCTGATAGTCCAGAGCCTGGGGACTGGTACGTGGGGGCTTGCTTTGCTATTTTCTCCACTTTTATATGTTTGAAAATGTTCATAATATAAAACTAAGTAACATGTAAAACTAAATATAGTAAACGTATGAAAGTCACTTAAAACTAAATATAGTAAACGTATGAAAGTCTATGACTTCTGTCAAATATGTTATCTTATATTCTTGTACTTTCTAAAAAGTCAAGAATCTAGTTTCTAAAACTTTTGCTTTTGTTCAAAAGGAGGGAGACATGTTAACCAGTGCACCATGATCACGTATGAACAAGTCCCATCTGTCCATTGCCCTGGGCTTTAGAGCATGTCTGTTCACATGATTGCCCCAGCGCCCTGCCGTAGACGAGATAGCTGAGGGGAGGAAGGGGCGGCTCGCCAGCTCAGTCGCTGCTCTTGCAGAGGCTTCTCACAGAAGTCACCTTCTCTGTAGCCTCAGCTCCGTGCAAGCCTCTTCCTTTCTTTTAACACCAGGTTTATGCCTGCCAAGTGAGAGCTACGGGGAAGATGTATGCCTGCAAAAAGCTAGAAAAGAAAAGAATAAAGAGGCGGAATGGTGAAGCCATGGCCCTAAATGAGAAAAGACTCTTAGAAAAAGTGCAAAGTAGATTTGTAGTAAGTACCTCCCCTCGTCTCCCGGGACTCTCAGAGAGAGCCCAGGAGATCTGTAGGGAGTTCCTCCTGTCGTCCTCACTGAGGATCCGGGGTAACCAGCACTTTTCTTTTTTTTCTTTTTTTTAATATATTTTATTGATTTTGTTCAGAGAGGAAGGGAGAGAGATAGAGAGTTAGAAACATCGATGAGAGAGCGTCATTGACCAACTGCCTCTTGCACACCCCCTACTGGGGATATGCCCGCAACCAAGGCACATGCCCTTGACCGGAATCGAACCCAGGACCCTTCATTCCCCAAGCCGACGCTCTATCCATTGAGCCAAACTGGTCCTGGCAGACCAGCACTTTTATTAAGGACCTGCCTCAGAGCCCCTTCCTTCCAGCTGTGGGAATTGCTTGGTTGAGTGCGTGTGTGGTTGCCATCTTGTGCTGATAAGAGGCCTAGGTGTCGGGAACAGCTTTGCTTTAGTAACAGCCCTCTCTTTCCTTATTCAGTTCTTAATAAACGTAAGACAGTGGGAGCCTGCCTGGAACAGAGCCGCTGCTTCCACCACGCCTGGTCTGGCAGTGACTTCCCTCGGCAAGCTTGCACCGGCCAGGTGCTCCTCCCCTCTATTTATGACACCACTTACGGTAGCATCAAAAAACAGCGAGATCTAGGCAAAAATTGAAAATGTGCAGGAGTTCTCCACTGAGACCGATAAAACGCTAGTTCAGGAAGTTACAGAAGCCTGGCCGGCAGCTCAGTTGGCTGGAGCATTCGCCTCATATGTCCAGGTGCAGTTTGACCCCCAGGCAGGGCACATACTACAAGCACAGTGGGTCTGGGTAAGTGGATCAGCGGATCGGTGTTTCTCTTGCTAAAAAACCACTTTAAAAAGTTTCTGCATTGTGTTGAGAGAACACTTCAAACAGGAAAGAAAACAGGCCCCAACCAAGGGGTCCGTGGGCTTTGCACCAGCTCTGCCCAGGATTGATGCAGCGATGGAATGAATTCAGTGCAGTCCAGCACGGCCCCGACAGCGTGTGTACGTGTGTGTGTGTGTGTGTGTGTGTGTGTGTGTGTGTGTGTGTGAATGGACATACAAACCAATAGGAACGTAGGTGAAAACCTTGACCAGGCAAAATTGGTTTCATGAGCATTTGACAAAGCATGAGGAGTACCCATGTTTGCGTGGTCACAGCCATGCAGTTAGTGCCCCCCGCTGGCTGCCCACAAGTGTTGGGAGACCTCCGGGTGCTGTGGGGGCGGGTGAGGGTGAGGGTAGCCTGGGATGATGATCCCGTGTCTGTGAAGTGGTGCCACCCACCTACCCCTGGGCGGGGGCAAGTTCTCTCCAGTTCAGGACCGGCGCGCTGGCGCAGGGAGTGGGAGCTCGTAGAGTGCGTTAGCCATGGGTGCAGGCCGGGCTGAGCTGCTGTCCGTTGTTTTTGTGATGCTGCCGCCTCCAGGTGAGCTTATGCTACTCATACGAAACCAAAGACAGCCTGTGCTTGGTGCTCACCATCATGAACGGCGGCGACTTGAAGTACCACATCTACAACCTGGGCGGCCCCGGCATCGAGGAGCCGAGGGCGGTGTTCTACGCGGCGGAGCTGTGCTGCGGCCTGGAGGACCTGCAGAGGGAGCGCATCGTGTACAGGTGAGCGGGCCTCCCCCCTTCCCCCTCCCCTCCAGGGCCCCGTGCTCCCTAGGGCAGCCGCTTCCACTGTGGCCCTCAGAGGCGGCTTCTCGTCTCTGTGAGCAGCTCTCCGTTCAGTTGGTCAGACGTGGCAGTGGCGCTGACGTCGAATAAGAACCATTTCCGACATCTGCGGCGTGGAGCAGTGCTGCGGCCTGGGACGGCCAGCCCATGGCCCAGCACTTACGTGCCTCACAGTCACACGCACTTGGCTGTTTCTGCCTCTCAGAATTCAGTAAAGAAAAGGAAATGTATTGCACTGGCTAGTGTCAGCAATGTGCTCCGTCAGAGGGAAAGCAGCCTATCCTGCAGCTGCTGCAGTGTCTCTCGTCTGCCCCTGGTGGTCTCGCCTGCGCCCGCTCCCTGGGAGGCCTGCCAGCCTCACCCTCTCTCCTGACATCCCAGGGTCTCACCCCCTCCCGTTGGCCACAAGTTCCTTCTGAGCACTTGCCCACTCAATTCCTGGGTCACTGGGCCTCTGCTGCGGGCGCTGTGCTCACCCTCAGGGTCGTCTTGCTTGTCGGGCGCAGAACCCGCGTGGCTGTGGCTGTAGCTGCAGCTGCTGATGGGCACAGGGTCAGCTTCCTCCTAACCGAGCTTCCTGTCGCTTCTTCCTCGCAGAGACCTAAAGCCCGAGAACATCCTCCTGGACGACCACGGTGAGTGCGCCTCCCCTGGAGCACAGGCTTCGCCGAGAGGGACGGGGCAGTCAGTGCGGACCTGCGTGCGGCCCGCAGACCAGCAGGCAGCAGGGAGCCCCAGGCGCCAGGATGGCACGGTGGCCTGCCTCCCGGGTTAGGCGGGCAGCAGGCTCGCTACCCTCTGAGGACGTGCTCTGTCCTTGTCTTGCTCGTGACCCACATCTTGCTGTACCCCTCAGCGTGGGCACACTGCTCGCGGGTGGCCCTTTTTACAGGGCACGTGGCCTGGGGCAGCCGTGCATATGGCCACGTGGGTCTTCCACGTGGGGAGCCTGTGAGAGTGTCAGGAGCAGCTCGTGGGGCTGGCTGTTGGTCAGCAGCCTTTCCTCTGACGGCTTAACGGTCAGTGTCTCGATGTCATAACCGGGACTCACAGCGACGGCACGCTGACGCCATCGCTCCGTTTGCGCGTCCTTGCTGCGGTCCCTGTGTCATCTGCATTTGTTCACCTTTTGCTCAGGGAAGTCAGGTGAGACACTTGGCTGTGAGTCCCCTGGTTTTCACGGCCAGAGGGCTCGCTTTCTGCGCTCTCGTGAGGAACTGGTGCGTTCTAGCACTGCTGTGTGTCCGTCCATCGGAGTCATTGCCCGCCTGGCCAGCAGGTGCCAGTGGATGTGCTCTCTGCTATAGTCATGTTCCAGGCCCCCTTGCATGCCGAGACCTGAGTCCCCGTCTCCCCAGGGCCTGTTCCCGTGTGGAGAGCCGCACGCGAGACCCACGTGGCTGCGCGGCCCCGTTGCTCTGTGGCCATTCTTCCTTGGCCTGCTGAGTGGGCGGAGAAAACGTGCCCTACCTCTCTTTTTGAAGAGAGTATTCACCCTGGTTCACATCGGCCTTCCCTTCTCCTCCCCTGTGCGTCCTCCTCCGGTGCTGAGGCACAGGCCCTGATGGCTTCAACATCCTCATGCCGTTTCCTCACTTTGCTGTTTAACATGCAGCAGAGGCCACTCCCCACACACAGAGACCTCCGGCCCTTGTCACCAGGGGGTGGGGGCCATCAGAGTGGGTGCTAGGCCGAAGGCCAGGCCACATGCAGTTCTGGCACATCCCTCCCGGGTGTGGAGCTGGTGGTTTTATTTGTTTTTGAACAGAGAGGCAGGGAGTAGGAGAAGAAGAGAGAGAGAGAGAGAGAAGCATTGGTCAGCTGCTCCCTACACACTGCCTCCTGGGGACGGAGCCCCATCCCAGCATGTGCCCTCACTGGGCATCGACCCAGGGATCCTTGCTGCACGGGACAGTGCTCAGCCAGCGTGAGTGTGCCTGTGTCCCCACCGCCCCAGGCCATGCCTCCAACGTGCAGTGCTTCCAGTAGGTTTACTGTTCCCTTCTCAGTTTAAAAGAATCACCTTTTAAAAGAAAAATGAGACAGGGGAACTTAAAATCTTGCAACATGCGTGAACTCTGCTTAAACATAAAATATAGAAAACCAAATTGCCAACGGATCTGTCTGTTTGGGAGGAGGAAACCCAGACGAACTGAAACGTGGCAGAGCTGGGACTCTAACCCAGGCCTCCGGTCCAGCATCTGCTCTGCCCCCTGCCCCTCCTGCCTCCTGGGTGGGCTCGTGCCCAGCGCATGATGGGATTTGTGATGTGGTGCAGCCTCAGTCCGAGGCCCCCTTCCTGTCTCGAGTGCTGTATAGACTGGTCTGAAACGATTCCGTGCCTGGGGAGCTGGTCAGCTGGTGTCGATGGTCAAACGGCTTCCCGCCCCGAGCCAGGCAGACACGAATGCCCCCCCTAGTGGAGCTGCACGCCCGGTGGTCTTTGAGCAGAGGCGGAGAGGTCTGTGACAGGCTGCAGTCTGCCGTGGGGACCGCTGTGACTCGCCATGTGTAGATGCTTTTCCATTCTGTAGGTGTGGAAGCGTCAGCACGCCCCCCTGTGATCGGTGTCATGTATTTAAATACACGCAGGACATATCCGGATTTCAGATCTCGGTTTAGCCTTGGAGATCCCAGAAGGGCAGACAGTTCGAGGAAGAGTTGGAACAGTCGGCTACATGGGTACGTAGAGGCCCCCTTCAGCGAGCCTTGCCCTTTCTGTCTAGGTGCCCGAGTCCTCAGGACACAGAGACACTCAAATGCGAACGCACCTGGAGTCCCTTCTGCCTGAGGCACAGGTGGCATTTGAAGTGGTGCCGGCGGCGTGGGAGTGAGGAGGCCTCCCGTCTGGCTCCTCTCCTAGGTGGGACTGAGGCCCAGAGCCAGCTCGGGCTCCATGGAGGCAGGTCGGGACCGGACAACCCATCTCACCGCTGCTGCCACACTGGGTGCACACGGCCTCGCAGTCCCCTCGGGGAACTGTCCCTGGCCATTCCGCAGCCTGGGTGCGCTGGTCCTGCCTCGGTCAGCTCCAGAGCAGTGACCTCGCAGCTCCGGCCAGGTGCCAGCCGGACCCCAGGGTGGCCTCTCACGGGCCGGAGGGCCCCGAGGGCCTCTGCGGAGCCTGTGGTGACTGCCCTGGCCGCTGCTCTGCCGTAGCTGCCGCGAGGACCTGATAGCTGAGGGTAGAAGGCCACGGCCAGGACCCCGGGGCTGTGGCTCTGTGTTCGGAGGGAGCCCCTTCCCGGTAGCTCCTCTGCTGGGGGCTGTTTCCCGCTCTGAGAGTACAGCCTCCGGGCCAGCTGCATTGGAAGGTCACTCGCCACGAAAAGCGCGAGGCCTCGAGTGCACATGCATGGTCTCGGGCGTCACAGCGCTGGGCACCCACCACTGTCTCAATCCAGATAGTTCTGTCCCCTCAGCAGAACCCGTGCCATCCCCGGCAGCTCCTGTCTCCCCCCCACCCGTCCCCAGCCTGCAGCCACGAAGCTGCTTTCCGTCCCCGGGCCCTTGGCGAGTCTACCTGTTTCTTAGAAATAGTCACACGCTACGCAGCCTTTTGCTCTGGTTCTTTTGCTTAACATGCTTGTAGGTTGATGCATGTTGAGACATGTTACCTTTACAGTGTGCTGTTTGGAATTAATTACCAGGAAATTTAGAGCTACAGTTTAATTTGCCTTTGCTGTATTTGCCACGCAGCTCCTGAGGTGATCAATAACGAGTCCTACACCTTCAGCCCGGACTGGTGGGGGCTCGGCTGCCTGCTCTACGAGATGATTCAGGGGCACTCCCCCTTCAGAGGGTTCAGGGAGAAGGTCAAGCGGCAGGAGGTGGAGCGGCGCGTGCAGGAGGACACGGAGGAGTACTCGCCGAGCTTCTCGGAGGACACCGAGTCCGTCTGCAGGATGGTGGGTCGGCTCCGGGGGGCGTGAGCTTCTCCCTCCCGCGGCCACAGCAGCCCCAGGAGCGTCCGTGTCCCGTGAGCAAGGCCCTGGCTCGGGAGGGCCGCCGAGGTCCTCCGGTGCTTGAGGCCAATACCAGGGGCTTTCTCCCGAGTCAGGCAGGAGGGAACCTTCTGGATGCCGCCGGGAGCAATGACGTGATGGAGCCGAGGGCAGCCGAGGGGAGGGCTGCCTCTCAGAGGGGCCACTGTACCCCCCTCAGAGCACAGCAGAGCCTCGTGTCGCTGACCACGTCACGTGGAACTAACCTGAGCAGGACTTTCACGCAGCGCCTGTCCCCTCGCCCACGTCTCTGTCCCTCAGCGCGTGCTGGTCAGGCCTGCGGGGCTGCGGTCGCTGCGGGGAGCCGAGCCAGCGCAGGCAGTTTGCCCCCTGTGCTCCGGCTGGGCAGGCCCTTTCGTTCACTCTGTGTCCACGGCCGCCACCGAGGGTTGGACGGGACTCTCTGCCCTTCCCAAAGCCAGGACGTAGATGCTCCGAGTGCACTCCTTCCCTCCTTCCCGTGTGCGAGGCCGTGCGCACCTCCCGTGGGCCTGTCCTCGTAGGCCCGGCCCCGGCCCAGGGCTCATTCTGCCGCAGGAGTGGGGGTGGGCCGGAGGGCTGTGGGCTGTCACACGCACAGGGAGGCACAGTGCCCACTGGCGGGGAAGCCGTCACAGGGCTCCATGGGCGGCCGTGCCGGGAAGAGACCGCGAGGAGGACGGAGGGGCAGCTGAGACCTGGTCAGGTTCCAGCGTAGAGGGAGGTGGCGCCTACAGGGTTTGATGTGAAGTCCACCCTGCCGGGAGGGGAGAAGCTGGACACTGCCTGGTTGCACCCAGAGGAGGGGCAGGAGAGGCGGAGTGTGGGGCAGCGGGCGCCGGAGACGTGATGCTGGCGTGGATGCGCAGTGCGAGCTCCGCACGGCCTGCTGGTCTCGGAGGTCCCCAGCCGCCGGGGTGGGAGGGAGCTGAGGAGGTGAGGGAGGGGGGCTCGTGGTTGAAAGGAGGCGGGAGGTCAAGGCCCCATTGTGGGTCACGCTCCTGTCACAGGAGCCACAGCTGCGGAGTCACGGTGCCGCCTCCGGTTAGAAAGACGGCCACACAGGGAGGAGGCAGCAGGGAAGGCTTGTGCTCATGAAGAGTCGGGCGTGACCTGGGGGAGTGGCTGGTGGGACGGGGTGGGGGGCAGGTTCTGGGGGTGTTGGCATCTCCAGCAGGCAGCTGTTACTGAAGGGTGTCAGTAGCTCAGGGGGTGATGGTGCCGGCAGTAGCCATTTCCGGTTCCTTCTCCGTGTGTCCGGGGCGGGTGGCAGTGCTAGTGTCTGGCACTGGCAGTGGGCTCGGGCCTTTCTTTCAGCTGCTCGCTTGGAGCTGACAGAGTTTAGTCAGCTCCCAGCCCAGCTGCTGTCCGTGCACTCACAAATACTTCGAGTGCTGCTGCCCTCGGTGGCTGCAGGGATGTGGGAAGCTGAGTGAGAAATGGAGCCTGCCCCAGGCCTCACGGGCTCCTGGCAGGCTGAAACAGCCAGAAACGTGGCTATAGTGAAAGGCAGGGGAAGAAAAAGTAATAAATAAATAAATAAATAAATAAATAAATAAATAAAGAACAGGTAGGCTGGAGCCAGAATGCTGTCTGGCCTCTGCCTGGAAATTGGGTTTATTTTTGGAGAAGCAGGTGAATCTGGCCAGGGGTCAGCAGACCTTTCTGGAGGGGCCAGATGACCAGTGCCACTTAGGCCCTCGGGGCTCTGATGTCTGTCCGGGTTGTCTCGTAAAACTATGAGTGAGATACAAGATGCCGTTTTTTTTTCATTTTCATTTTCATTTTATTATTTATTTATTTATTTATTTATTTTTCCCCATTTTTTTATTCAATTATTATCTGTGTACATATTTTAACATTGCCCCCCCTACATACATCCCCCCCCCCTTCAAGACGCCTTAATGACCCAATTAATTAGGAGTCGTGAGGTGTCTCTTCCAAATCTGAGACCCAAAATAGAGGAAGTCTCCCGTATTTGTACTTCGAGCCTCTTTGTTTGCAGATGTTACAGAAGGACTGTGAGTTATTGTTACAGACAGTTGTAACCTTGACTATATAATGAGTTAGTACTTGGAACACGAACGTGGGAATTACTATCAGTATTAGTCTACATCCGTCTATTACAGTGGTCAGCAAACTCATTAGTCAATAGAGCGGCAAACTGCGGCTTGCGGGCTGCAGGTGGCTCGCTAGCCACGGTTTGCCAAAGACTTGTCTAGTGCATTGATGGCTAGCTTGCAAAGTCAGACAGTTTATCTTTTTCTATTATTTGAACTAAAAACAATAATTTTATAGAATAAGAGACTCTTAAAGTGACAGTTTACAGGACTAGGGCCTACCTAACAAAGCAGAGTTTCAAACAGTGGTTTTTACACAAGATGGAGGTTCCTGTGCTTCCTCAGGCTCTTCACCCCGCTGCCGGTGCAGGCGCAGCAGGCCGCTGACCCCGGCTGCTGTGCTCCCGCAGCCGTGCGGGTCAGCAGCCCAGGCAGCGGGGTGGCCGTGTGTGCTCACGCTCCAGTCTGTCCTGTGGTGCGTGAGCACAGCCAGACCTTGGTCGATTGTGGAGGACGGCCTCCTGAACGTGATCATTACAAACGTGGGTGAGAAGCCTGGGAGAGATCCTTCCCACCGCCTGTAAGTGGTGTGATTTCTGACGGGGCTTGCTAAGTCTTCTCCAGTGAGAGCCGCGACCCCCTTCCCGAACAGAGCAGCTGTGAGTGTTTCTGATGGGACTGAGCGGTAAGTGGTTCCTCGGAATGCTGAATGGCGCTATTTCTTTTAAAAAGCTTATTGTTTTACTTAGGGGTTTACTTAGCCAACTCTTTATTTATTGACAGCTCAAAGGGAACCTGCAGTTTAACTGTTGGAAGCCTCACTTGTTTAATTGGTCAAATGGGAATTAATGAGGCGGCGGGCACTGCACCCTGAGGGCCTCTGCTCTGTGGTGGTGCTCGCCCCATTCCGTGGTTCTGGCCGTGGAGCTGCCCTGCGTTCCTTCCTCCCCAGGAGCTTCTGATTCATTTCTGCTTCTTCCAGCTGCTCACCAAGAACCACAAGGAGCGCCTGGGCTGCATGGGTGACGGAGCCGCTGGCGTGCGGAAGCACCCCGTGTTCCAGAACATTAACTTCAAGAGGCTGGAAGTGCACATGTTAGAGCCCCCGTTCTGCCCTGACGTGAGTACCCTGTGCCCACCAGCAGGGGGCCCAGCAAAGGCGGGCCTCTCCCCAGCAGCTCCAGGTCACCTGGTGTAGCCAGTGGGTGTGGCTTCCGCTCAGGCTCCCTAACATCTGGTTCTCCTCCCTCCCCGGCCCCCACTGCCCAGGCCTGTCCTCACGGCCTTCTCAGCAGCGCTCCGGCTTCAGGCTGGGGGGCCTGGTGTCCACTGTGGGCCATCAGAGCTGAGCCCGGCCAGTGTGTCCTTGGACCTCCTGGGCAGCGGCCCCTTCTGATGGCAGTGCCGGCCAGGGTGAGTCCTGGCTGCACACTGAGGGCCCGGCAGTGGTCACCTCAGTGCGTGGGGGGCCAGGCGTGGGCATGTGTCAGTGCTGGGTAGGCACACAGCACAGACGATGGGACCAGTCTGGACCAGATGTGAGGTGGCCCAACAGGGTGTGATGGTATGACAGTCCGGGACTCGGGCTGTACCCATGTGTCTTACACCAGTGCTTCTTCCCCGGAAATGGGTCTGGTTGCATGTTGGTGACATGATGTGGTGTCGGCACAGGGAGAACGGCACCGGCTCCAGGCTGCGCAGGTCAGCAGTGAGGCAGTTACAGCCAGAGCAGAGCCCCAGACAGAGAC